TGCACACAAGGGAGACTAGACAGTTCAGCGCTGCTATGCAGGATAAGGGAATGGGCCGGGTGGGATTTTAGCAGTATGTGCACATGGATTTTGATAGGTGTGCATATTTTTATTTGATTTTTTTTTTTTTGTGGATTTGCTGTAAGAGGTCAACAGAACAATCTTGCAATTTCTTGGAGATTGTCTTTTATTTTTATTCATGGACCAAGTCGTGATTTCTCAAAAGCATGCAAAGAAACTTAAATATATTTGTAGGTACATCTAAGTTAATTTAGTTTATAAAATACTTTAAATTTTTTCTTCTTACTTTTGGCTTGTCCCACTCTGAATGAAATCACAATTTTTAAATAAAATAGCACATTCATTTTTGTAGATATCATTAAAAACTTTGCTATTCTTTTCATCTTCAAGATTATATTTTGGGGCAATAAACATATTTTGTGCAAATATATTTATTTAATCGAAGTTACTTTCAACTTATCCTTATCTTTATAATGAGTCTATATCAATTTTATTTATTTGTCTTATTATTATTATCTTCTATCATTTACTTGTGCATCATAAAATCATCTAATTACTTTGTCTTTTTCTATCTACTTTTCAATATAAGGAATTCTATCAATCTTTAATATAATTATTTTTTCTTCATTCTCCTATCAATTAACTTTTTGGTGGTGGCTAACTAATTATGGAATATAGGAGATGTTAATCTTTGTAGGAGTAGCTAAATTGGAGGGTTTAAAATATCTAAACTTTTTTTTTTTGTATAAATGAGAATTCACTCCTAAAAAATCAAAATAAAATTGACATATGCTTTGTTTGGAATAACTTTTGACCACTATTTTTTTCATTACTTTCAAGAAATTTTCGTACTAAAAAAGTTGCTTTTGAAAGTAATAAAAAAGTCTTCAAAAACAAAACCTTGAAATCTAGTAGAATGAGTTCTGAAACACGTTTGAGATGATTTCTTCTACGAATATTGAATGGGTCGTAGCGGTGTAAACGAGTTGAGTCGAGTTGAGCTCGAGCCAGAGGTAGTTCGAGCCTAGCTCGTTTATTTTGCAGGTGGCTCAAACTCGAGCTCGCGACTCATGTGTCTGAATCCCAAGCTTGAATTCGGCTCGTTAGCTCCAGCTGAAAAATTTGGCTCGGGCTTGGCTCGTGTACAAGCTCGATAACAGGCTCGAATTTTATATTTTTTATGAAATTTTGACCATCTAAATGTTATTTATTATGAAATTTTCATCATAAAAAGGACATTATTAATAAGTTACTTAAAAATCATGATGACATATATATAATATATCGTATAAAGCCATTGAAAATAACAAAGGTGTTTTAAAAAACATATTATTGACAAACCAATCAAAAATTATAATAACAAAAAAAGTTTATAGTAAACAAATATACATACAACTAAATAAAATCTGACCATTGTTATATAAACTACAACCATTGATAAGCCAACCAACTTTGTCAATTGTTACATAATCATGATTCATAAGAAAAATGATCATTGTTATATAAACTACAATCAAATATCATAGAAATACAACTACAAATATCATGCACAAAATTCAAATTATAATCAAATACTAAGTTAAACGAACAAAAAAAAAATCCATACATTATTCAATAAATTACTAAAGCATTAGAAATGAATACATTCATCATGCCCTTCAGACCATAGTAAAGATGAATCCAATTTGACCTGCATATCAAAGTCTGAACTGTTTCAATTTCCAATTTAAAATTATACATATCAACAACTTGCTCCCTTGCTGAGATACAACTCCCAAAGCAAATAAAAACATTTGAGTATAAGCAAAAGGAAAATGGAATTGTAGGAGATTTGGAAGAGAGATATTGTCGTTTAAATAACTTATGTTTTGCTTTGAGCACAGGACTCACGCTTCTTGCTCGCCGACTGACGCCTCTTGCTCGAGCTCCACGGACCAGAACTCTTCACAAAAAAATGTGTAAACTGGCTTCAAATAGTTTATTTACTGCCGGACCCGATTCATTTTTCGCCCGGTCTAGCATTCCCACTTCACTCCGCAGTCCGCACCGAAAATCAAATTTCGCAAATTTGTGACTCCGTCTGCGAATATGCATTTTAATCGGACTGGCTCGACGATCTATCGAGCCGGACAAGGCATGTGTTGAACTCGAGCTCGATAATACACTGAGATCAAAACTTTGCTCGAACTCGAGCTCGATACTCAATAAGTTCTACTCACGAGCTCGTTAATGAGTTGAGCTTGAGCCAGCTCACGAGTTGGCTTGGCTCAGTTGCACCTCTAATGAGGTGTGACTTTCTCTAGTACTCCCAATTGTCCATTAGAAATTATCAGACAAGTTACTTGCATACTATGCTAAGTAAATTTCTTATTTTAAAGATTATATACCAAATTAAGAAATTTAATTATGCATGTCTCAATGAACCTCTTATTTCAAAATATATTAAAATAATATCATGATAGTGACAGATTTGGAAAACAAGAAGAAGAAGATTTGGAAAAAGGAAAAATGAACACATATCATTAATTAAGAGTTAGGTCCTATAAATAGAGACCGGTACATGAGACAACCGAAATTCCAGAAATGACATATTTACATAGCAGGTGCTGAGATAACCTGTAAGTCACGACTAGTTACTTAACAGATAGTAATAATAATTTCATTTGACTATTATTTTCTTGTTACTTTCTCACTATTTTTAAAAAACTTATATGCGGAAAGCTGATTCTGTAATCATAATAACAAAGTTGCTTTCTCTACAACAATTTTATGACCAATTTTATAAAATGTCGTAGTTGTCTCAAAAAAATGCTAAATCTTTGCCGGTTTACTTTCAAGAATGCGATTATCACTAAAAAGTTGCTTCTGAACTCATCCAAATAAAAATTTGATCTTAATTTAAAGAACTAAAAAGTGCATTTAAATTAAAATCAAAATATCGACATAAACACTATTCAATGCAATTCAAATTTTGGGAAAATTTTGATTTGCGTCCTCCAGAATGAAAATCCCAATTTATTTTGTCATTTTTTTCATTATTTTTAGTCTTCCTTTGTATCTTTTGTGTACACACATTTATTTTAATTTGTCATTATAGGAACTTAGAAAGAAAAAAAGCATTGCAATAAATTTAGACATATAAGAGTTTGAAGTTGTTTTATTTGTCTATTTTCATTGAATTTTCCTTTGCTAATGTATGATTATTTTAATTATAATATAAAAATATATCCTTAATAGATGATCCTAGTAATTCATTTTGTTTAACTTACGTGTAAAATAAGCCAACATTTGATAGAGTAAGCTACTCATATATTATATCTTTCTACATCATTATTCTTTATTATGAATGAAAAAAACTTCAAGGTAATATATATTATTTTAATTATCAGTTCATAAGATAAATTATTTGTAATATTAGAGGGGGTCAATCAAGAAAGACCAATCTGAAAAACAAACAAAAAATATATATATATATATATTAACAAACAAATTAAAAAAATTCAAATCAAATCAAGATTGAGGAGTTATTATTATTATTATTATTTATTATTGTGAAGTCATAAATAAGTAATGAATGATGTTTTTAACATTTTATCAAAACATACCTTTAAAATATGATTTTAAAAAAAAAATCAAAATTTCTATTTATTTTTTTAAATAAAAATATGTAAAATTTGAAAATAGGTATAATCAACACAATTTATATTTTTACATATATGAATGCATCATGTAAGCCTCTAGATCCTTGAGTCATTCTACCACCTCTATGTTTTTTGTCAGTGTCTTAACTTCTATGACTCTATTTGGAAAAAGCAATCCTAACACATTTGGCAAAAAATTACCTATGCTCTATAACTCTCCCATAGTTTTAAAGTATGACACATTTTTCTATATAATTCACACAATATTGTGCATCACCTTTACTTTTAAAAATAGGAATCAACACATTCATTCTCCACTCATATGCATCTTTTTAGTCTACAAGAAAATATTAAAAAGTTTAGTAAGTCCAGAAAATCCTTCATCTCCTAAGCATTTCCACACCTCTATTGGAATATCATCAAGCCCGACAGCTATTCCATACATCATTTTTTTAAAGCCTCTTTAACTTAGGTTTTACTAATATGCCGATAAAACAAAAATCTTTATTTTCATTTAGGGTGCTAAGGTCATTAAAATCAAATCTATTCCAATAATCCTCATTAAAAAAATTAACAAAATATTTCATCCACATTTGTTGAATATCCTTTTCTAATAAAAGCACTTTTTAATTTTCATTCCTATTACAGTTCACCTGAATTAAATTCTTACCAATATCTTTTTGTTTATCTAACTTATATATATCATCCTCCTTGGTATCTAATCTATTATATAAATTATTAAAAGTTAAAATCTTTGCATCGCAAATTACTTTCTTAGACTACTTATAGGCTTATTTATATCTTTCCAAATTATCAGAATTTTTACAGCCAAATCAATTTTATAATAAATCTTCTTATTTTTTTATATTTTCTTGCATATTTTGATTCCACCACCAACTATTTTTAGTATTAATATTTTTTTCCTTTGGTACTCCAAACACATATTTTGCAACTTTCTTAATATAACTAGTTATTTTTTATCACATAACATTAGATTTCTCATGCATAAACAAAATTTTAAGATCTAGAATCTTACTCTAAAAAATATTTTATTAATATTTTTTAAATGTCTGCATCTAATCCTAGAATAATGATTTACTTTATTTTTTATTTTTTACCCCTTCATTATAAAGTCCAAAACTAATAAATAATTTTGGGTACATAAACTTTCACTCGGAATAACTTTACAATATTTGTAATCTAAACGATATATTTTTCTTAAAAGAAAATAATCAATATAAGTTTTACTATATCCATTCTCATAAGTGATAAGATGCTCATCTCTTTTCTTATACGAGTTGAAAAAAATAAAATCATTTCTGATGAGGGTCCCTCAACTGTGATGATGGAGAAATCTTTATTTGCTATTTGCATTGAAAGCAAAAAGTGAAAATTCAAGACTATTTCCCAAATGAGATTCTACCAATTCAAATGATATGTAATGCTGGTGTGCCATTTGCATATTTCTCTAAGAAGAATTTCCAGAGGCCTAATTTCCAGCTGAAAGAAGCTATCAAAACTGCCAATGGGCGCTGTATCCAGAAATGAAGCTCACAGGAGGAATTTTAGCTCAATTATTGTAGATTCGCATCCTCAGTTGTTTCCTTTGTATCAGTTAGAGCAGTAAGCAGCTCTTTGATTGCTTTCAACGTTAGCAAAATCTGTTGTTTCCCTCTTGCCAAAATCTCCATGGGGCTCACTATTAGAACACAACAAGACATAGAAGACACGTCAGCTCATTATGTTAATATTCCTATTACTGATGTGTACTTACCTGCTTGTAGTCTATAAATACCTCTGTATATTTGTATTCTAGACATGAGAAAATAACATTCTTCTTTTCCTCTCTGTGCTGTTATCTTCTGCTTTGCGTTTCAAGAACTGCTTCTAGGCAGTTCGTTTCTACATGGTATCAGAGCGGGACGATCGATTCGTCTGCGTTCATGGATTCATCGGAGACATCCCTGACCGAAGAGCAGAACAACTCCGCCTCAAGAACTCTGCCTCTCTTGACGCTGCAAGCATTCCATCCTCTCTGAAATTTCTTGTTGCCAACCTCAAAAACGCTTTCAACAGCTCAGACTCAAACTGACGGTCATTCAAGATCCATCAGTTTGTCGGGATGTATTAGAACACAACAAGACATAGAAGACACGTCCGCTCATTATGTTTATATTCGTATTGCTGATGTGTACTTACCTCCCTGTAATCTATAAATACCTCTGAATATTTGTATTCTAGACATGAGAAAATAACATTCTTCTTTTCCTCTCTGTGCTGCTATCTTCTCCTTCTGTTTCTACACTCACCAACTGCTGCACGATCATAAGATGCTCTGCTGAAAGATCGGGAACCAAATTATTTTATCACCAGAAATCAGCACAAGAGCATATCCCTTCCTCAAAATGATGAAATCGATTCATATCTCTGACAATAAGTTCACGCCCTACAACCTTTGATATCAATTTAAATGAAGCATGACAATCTGAGCAGAACCGAAGATTCTTAATGATCCGAATTGGACTTCCTGGTGGCAAGCCAACAAGTCCAAAAGCCAAAGCCAGCCGCTCACTATGTAGCCATAGAAGTCTTTTCTTAAGCTCATCCCCTACATCATGCAAGACTACGTTAAAATCAGGAACATAGCCTGCTTTCCTGATCTTTCTATTCAGCCACTCCAGCATTGCATTAATCACCCTCTTATCTGGGTGTGATAGATCTCCGGCAGTGAATGAATGGATTTCACCCTGCTTCTCAATCCAGCTGATGCCTGGTTCCTTCTTCACATTTTGATTTCTCATATAGCTTCTAATAAGGCTAACATTATCCCAACTTCCTGCTGCAGCATACAAATTCGACAGCAACACACATGTCAACTCATCTTGTGGTTCAATCTCAAGAACCTTTTCAGCACAAACCTTTCCTAAATCGACATTCTTGTGGATCAAACAAGCTCCCAACAATGCACGCCAAACCATCACAGTAGCTTGCAATGGAATCTCTTTAATAAGTTTCATGGCCTCATCAAAATGTCCTGAACGTCCAAAAAGCTTAACCATGCATGTATAATGCTCCATACTAGGTTCAATACTATAATCTTCAGTCATAGAATTGAACAAAGATCGACCTTCATCCAGCAAACCCATATTACTACATGCTGATAGCAAACCAACAAAGGTTACTCCATTGGCTTTGATCCCTTCTTCAGTCATCTTTCTGAAAACAGATAAAGCATCTGTGCCAAGACTATGAATAGCATAACCAGATATCAGTGCATTCCAGGATATTATATCATGCTCTTTCATGAGACCAAAGACCTTGCAAGCATATTTGATGTTACCACATTTAGCATATGAAGCAACAAGGGAGTTGCTAACAACATTATCATCTTTGAATGGAGTCTTCGTAACCAAAGAATGAATCTGACCAACCAGCTCAATGGCTGCGCCGCTTGCACAAGCTCGTAAAGCACTAGAGTAAGTTACTTGAGTTGCTTGTATACCAATATCCCACATCTGCTTAAACAATCTTAGAGCATCATCTCCAAGATCTAAATGCACATAGCCAACAATAATTGTGTTCCAACTCACGTCATTTTTATGGTACAATCCATGGAAAATCTTCTGTAAGCTCTCCAAATCACTACACTTAGCATAGACATCCATAAGAGCATTTGCCACAAAAATATCTGACAGGAGGCCAATCTTCATCACATGGCAATGGACTTGCCCACCCAAGTCCAAGTTTCCTATATTTGCACATGCTTGAAGAACACTGGAAAAGCTATATTCATTGGGAGCTACAGAGGATTTAACCATTCTCTGGAAGAGATCCAAAGCCTCTGAATTCTTATCACTCTGTGCATAGCGTGCAATCATAAAGCTCCATAAAATCACATCACAATCAGGAACCATATTGAAAGCCAAGTGGGCATCCTCAATATCTCCACATTTGGCATACATGTCAAGCAGGGCACCACCCACATACTCATCAGATTCATACATTGATTTCACAGAACAACCATGTATAGATTTGCCAAGAGCCAGAGATGACAAGGAAACAGAAGCTTTGAGCAAACTAGTAAGAGTATAGTTGTTTGGATTCAAACCTTCTTTCATCATTTCAGAGAAGAGGAGCAAGGCTTCATATGCACATTCATTCTCAGAATAGCAAGTCACCATCCCAGTCCAAACAACAATGTCCTTCTTTATCGAATCAAACACCCCTCGCGCATCATCTACAAGTCCACAACATGAGTAGGTCTCAATGAGAGAAGCTCCAACAAAAGAATTGTTATCATGACCAAGCTTGCAGATGCTAGCATGCAGGCAATGTCCAACCTCTGGTAAATCCATCATTATAAACAGCTTAAGAGCAGTGGTAAAGACAAAGTGGTTAAGCTCATGGCCTTCTCTATGGAGCTTGAGGAGAAGCACAGTGGCCTCGGTAAAATTGCCGCATTTGGCATGGCCCTGAATTAGATTGACAAAAGAAACCATATTTCTATCAGGCATTTCGTCGAATAGCCTATGGGCACTAGAAACAAGATCAAATCTCACGTAAAAATTAAGGAGAATATTCCGACAGAATAAATCTAAACAACCACCCTTTTTCAGAACGTGACAGTGGATAGCCTTTCCCCTGAATGGTTCTCCTCCGGCAATGCAAGATGTCAAAGCTCGGGCATAAGCATAAGAATCGAACTCCAGAAAAACACTTTCTCCTTCCACAACCATAAGCTGGGCGGCGTTGGCTGGAAAACGGCGCCGAGGAAAGAAGCCAGACAAGGGATTTAAGCGTGGGGTTGCAGATAAAAGCGACCATTTGGTTTTCCAGGATCTCAGAAACGCAATCACCATTTTCGATATTACTTGAAGAGGGAAAGGAAGGCGAGGTCATCACCATCTCTAACGAGCTCTCTCCTTCCGGTATTTGCTACGCCGAGGCGAACATATTTCAGCTCAACCGATAACAGCATTTGATTCGTAAGGATTTCTTTGGTTATGAGCGCGCGGCAATGAAGACATTCAATTGTCATATTAAAAACTTCATCTTCATGAACGGGATGAGATTGGGAAATCTGTGTTGGCATCTCAACAGAGATGGATGAGAAGCATGTACGTGATTTAGAGCTTGAAAGTTCTAGCAAAATGATACTGAATAATTATTAGGTCCGGACATCTGATGTAGTTCTACATCCGGATGCCAATATCATGTCACGACTTGCTTTTACTTTTTATTGTGCGGCCCGACGACCCGACCCAGATCGGAACCCGGTATTGCTATGTTCGGGTATTGCTCGATATTGCTCGGCGATAATGAGAAATACCAATCTGTCAAGACCAATATCGAGCAATACCTAGCAAAACTGGGGTATTGCTAGGTATCGCTCGGTATTGTTCGGTATTGCTAGGTATTGGTCTTGACAGATTGGTATTTCTCGTTATTGCCGAGCAATATCGGGTCCGGGTCCGGGTCGTCGGGCCGCGTGGTAAAGAGTAAGAGCATGTGACGACATGTTATTGGCGTCTGAATGTAGAGCTACGTCAGATGTCTGGACCTAATAATTATTCGTGCCGGAAAGTTCAAGGTCCCATGGGTGCTCTCAGCGTAGTCCAATGCTCCATGGGAGGTTGACGATTTAGGAGGAAAACAATAGAAAAGAAAAAAATAGAAGAATATTATGCTTTGATTAAAATATTAATCTTTTCTTATTAGCAAAGAAATTAAAAACAAAATGACTAACAAAACTTTATATATATATATATACACATACACACACAAGTCGAGTTTAAATCTGAGTCAAAATTGACCTGACTATATTTTAATCAAATTGAACCTAACCCATTTAACAAATGGGTAAAAAATGTAGATCTTAATCTGACCCGCTAGCAACTCAAACGACCCTATCTCATAAAGTGTTTATTGAAAAATATTTTTTTTTATAACTTTTAAACAATAAATTTTAGATTTATTAATAAACAACAAAATAATCATACCAAAAAAAATAAATAAATTAAAAAGCTATTTTGAGTCAAAATTGAGTTGGTAGGTCAACCTGAACCTGACCTATTTAATAAACAACTCATTCCAAACCTAAATTTTGCATTCACAGAGTCAAATCATTTTTTGACACCCTTATTTATATAATCAAAGTATAAATTATACCAAGATGAGTTTGAAAGCTATTAAATTTATTTTGAGATTAGTTTAATATAAATTATTCATTATATAATACCAATTTCAATAGAAACTTAATATTTTTAAGCTATCATGATATAATATATATCAAGATTATTGCATGCTAAAAAAAGAACAAAAGTTGAGAGAAAGTGTTTAACATCTTAATTTTAAATCCAGATCCATCTATCACATGTACAAATTAAAAAAAGTAGCATGATACACTAACATTTTATGTGAGAAATAAATAAGGGTTAAATGAGCCATAACCAAGTTGAAATGATAATTTTCAATAATTGGAGAAGATACTAATAATAAGCATTTCTTCATTGAAAAGAATGCTAGAAACTAATAGTGATTGGAGGCACAACCATAATAATCATGAACGATATTGGTGAGTATTGCTGTTGGTGTCGACGATGCTCATTGACATTATAGGCGTGGGATGCTTCAATATTAATAATAATGGTAGACGATAAAGTCGTTGGACATCGACGTTGGTGTTGACAGCATTGATTGGAGGGTGATAATCTAACCACGAGGTCAAGTGTCAACCTAGTAGTAGTAACCAACGATAATAATTAGGCATCTGGACCGATATGTTTGCAATCGAGTTACAAAGATAGTGATTATGACATATCAATCTTACAATGGTCGTGCAAATGACAATTGAATACAATGATTGAGTGGCAACAATCCTAGACATTGATTGGGCTTTGACAATTTGTCATTGGTTGATTGATAATGATCTATTATCGATAATTGAACAACTTTGATCCAATGACAATGCTCAAGTAGGTGTGATATGATGGTCATTAAGCTTTAAGATTCTTCAAATATTTGAACCCTCCAACCTACTTCAATTGAAGAATAGACATGTATTTAAAATTTTATGTACTCCATCTACAACCTATACTATTTGTCTTGATCATAGATATTTCTTTTAATAATAAATGTCTTAATGATATAAGAATTAAGAGATCTTAGTCAAATTAAATTTGTACCGATTAAATACTTAGTTTGAATATAAATATACAAAATTTTGAAACCATTTAATCCTCCAATTAATATGTCAGACATTTTAACCAAATTTTGACTCCTATCATTGCATTCCCCAGCAATCTCCCATTTTAAAGCAGAACATAAAATCGAAAAATATAACTCCTATTCCTTCTTTTACTTAGTTCTTCGAGGATTTTTTAAAATTCAAACAACCATAAAACACTAATTCTACTTATACTTGAATGCTCATGTTAGGCAAACCATTAATAGTATCGTTCATCATAAAAAAATGCCAATTTGCACTATAAAAAATGAGTAGCCAAGTTTAAGCTTCGTTTGGAACGGCTTTCTTACTATTTCTTAAAGTAATTTTCTAGTACAAAATTTTTAATTTTTGTACTAAAAAATTGTTTTAAGAACCAATAAGAAAGCCGTCCCAAACAAAACCTCAGCAAACCAACTAAACCGGGGGAGGAGGGGAGGCAAGTGCTAACGACTCTATCAAGGGAAGAATTTTTTTTATTACAAAATGCCATTAGTTCTTAAGAAAAACAATTAGTCTCATTACACAGAGTTCAAGTATGCATAAAATCCCTTATAAGTGATCGATGAAATAAAATAGGAGTCAACTATTGATTTGTTATGTTTGCGAGTCACAGGGGATTGTGCTGAGCTGCAATAGATGATCTTGTGCTGCATCAATGAAAGGGCATGGTAGTTGAATGAAAGCAACAAATTCAGTTAGATTAAGGTTTCGTTTGGGACGACTTTCTTTCTGCTTGTTAAAGCCATTTTGTATTAAAAAATTACTTTATGAAGCAGTAAGAAAGCCGTCCCAAATGAAACCTTACATGAAAAATGGCTTCATATAAGTGATGAAGAAGAGAATGCCTTACCACACTCAAGGAACTTGGGAGCTCCGAGTTTCGCTGAGCTCTGCACTTAACATGTGATGAAGAAGGTTGTCGACCGCACGGCTCCGTGTCTTTAAGCTACATCACAACAAAAGAGATCATTCTAATGGTTCTCTAGTGGCACAATCGAATCTTCTAGAAAACTTGATGTTAAGTTTCTACCCACCCAACAAGTCGACGGCGATCGGTCTTACCCAAAGCATCCTGAAACAAATTTCTTAAATGTCATTGCAATGGATGGATAGTTTGAGCTAATACAAATATTCACATAGATTTGAGCAACACAGCTACAGTTCTATAAAATAATGATGCAAAGGCAATTCTTTCCAAGTTCCTATAATTTTGAATAGTGAAGAGAGAAAAAGTCATCACAGATTTTTGTTTTAACAAAGTAATCTGTTTTCTCATCTTCTAGTGCAAGGCATCACAGAAATGCATCGATAGTAATCTGTTTTCTCCTCTGAAGTATACTGCACATTTTTTTACAGTGTTCTTATAATATAAGTGGCCATCTAATGCACATGTTAAAATGGACTTCGCACTTTAACTCATCCGAGGAATCACCTATCACTCATGTATGTGTTGCTTTTCCTAGGCTTTATTTACACCATTTCATTCAATACACCTTATACTCCTTTGTAAGTATATGCTATTAAAGTTGTAAGGAGCTTAGAGATCTCATTTTGGGTAAGCCTTTGTAAGTGCATGCTATTAAAATTCACCTATCTCGGCCATTAGTGGCTAGAGTTTTGGTTTTAATAGACATTGGTACATCTCTAGAAAAGAAGTGAAATAGTTCAAAAAAAAAAAAAAAGGCATTGGTTCCCATTGTTCTTACAAATAAATTTGGGCATATTATAAATATTTCAAGCCTCATCAAGAACTAATGAAATCAAACATCCAGGTACAATGGGAGCATACAAATGATCAATCTCTACCTTCAAACATGATGGTTGTAGCTCCTACTTCAAATCGAGCGTGCACAAAAAATATGGAACCAACTTTAGATCTCCCACACAGCTCACTTTGACCTATTGGTTGAGAGCTTATGCTTCTAACTAAGAGGTATTGGGTTCGAGTCTTTGTGTATGCGTTGTGTGAGTGAGTTTGACTTAAATAAAAAAACTTTAGATCTCTCCGTAAAATTTGAGCCTTGTGAGCTTGCCCCGATTATTGCTCCAAAAAATATGGCCACTCCACATTTGCATGCATGGATATTAATCTATCCCACCTAACATGCGATCTCCTCGTCTTCTAATTATTATTCAAGATGTTTATGACCATGCTTCAAAGTAGCCTTAAGATTTTGCTAAAAGTTTTTAAAAATATCGATGCTATATAAATATACCTTGTTCGTCAGGCAGGGTAAAAATAAGAAAAAAAAAAAATATCATCATTCTCTAAGACTTACCAAGCTTCAAACAAAGCCTTGCAAATAAGGATTTATGTAGCTCTTTTCAACTGAAACAAAATTCCTCCTATACCATTATGTAATCTTTAATTTCATCGTAGTTTTTTTTTCTTCTCATAAGAAATTTTTTCACATATATTTTCTACTGTTGTTGTACATGTCTAAACAACTTTGATCGATTTTCAAATACCATATTTTCAATAAATCTTGCTCTTCGTCTAATATAATTCTTTAATTTACCATTCCATGTTTTGCCACATCCATTTTATCATTCTCATTTGCACCACATTTTGCTTAGCTATCCAATTGTTTTTTTTTTCCTTGTGTTACCCCATACTCAGAATCCATATTTTATATACCACAAAACCTAAATGTGAGTTTAAATCCCAACAAATCCAAAAATAAGCATCCTATAAACTACAAATTTAATAACTTATTTGAACATAATGGTTTCCCAAAAATCTAATATCAAAAGGAAAACAATAGCAAGTAAGATCTAGCATTTTTTTTTTCTTCACCGAAGATATATCATTTATGAATTGAGAGCAGCCAGAAAGAAAGGCCTAAAAATTGTCATTATATCTCTCCCTTAACGGATATGTACAAACCTTGGTATCTGCAGAATTAGTGGTTGTTTCAATTTCCATTTCAGCAAAAAATGCTTCCAACACGAATGCTATAACCTGCAACAATAGAAGATGAATATTGCTTTTATAATTCATACTTAGCTATTCTAGCAACGAAGTGGACAAGATAATCTTCTTCAAAAAGATATGACCAGACAGTTTCCATCCATTAAATAAATAGCAAGGTAATGTATTTGAGGTATGTTTGGTTGGCTAAAAAAGAAATGCAGCATAAAAGAATACTTTTGAGTTGATTGGAAGAATGTGAAGTAAATGCATGCGAACAGTTTTTCTCTTCAAAACTGCCAAGTGGATGTTGCTGAAAGTTCACTAACTGGGAAGAAAGAGACAGTATTGTCCTTTTCACCATTGGATATTCTAGAAATTGTGTCCTACATCATTTCAAGTTCCTCTTATGCGATGACTAAACATTTAATTGGGAGAAATCTGATAAACCATTCACAGCATTTCCGGTGCATTTATTTGTTCACCATTGCCATGGGTAATTTAATAAAGATTTCTTGCTCGCAAGGTATAAAACACATACGAAAGACATGAAAAGAAAATTAGATAATTTGCCAAAGATAAGATACGTAATCACATAAACATTTCAAATGATGATGTTGCCATTAAGAAAATACTATGCTAAACTAATTATAAAAGAATTGGCGCCAAGTTCATCAACAACTTACCAAATTCAGGAGCAGTAAAACTGTTATGAGATAGAAACTGACAAAATAGATAAGGGTCCAAGAACTTCCTGTCAAATCCTTGTAGCTCTAGAAAAGATAGAGAAAAGAGACATCACTGAAATTTTCCATGTTCCAAAAAATAAATAAATAATCCATGAAATTATCATTGCAATAAAGTGTTAAGCTCCAGAATGTCAAAATAAATATCCACAAATAAATGCTAAAATTCAAATATTCAAGATGTTTCAAGAAAAAAGACATGAACATAGGAAACATGGTTAAAAAATTATGTTACACGCATCCTTAAAGCCTAGGCAATCCAAAGGAGATCTTTTGAATTGTGCTAAATCTAGGCAATCCAATTTCTAAATCATTTATGGTTGGCCTCTTATGCACAACCAAGAGGGAAAGGGTGTGAATAGGCTGTTGAAACTTTTGTAAAGGGTGACTGAAAGAGAAAATAAATTAATAGTATAATATTCTAGATTTGTTAAACATAATACAAAACAATGATTAAGATGTCAGGCGCAGAACACATAAAACAAACACAAATTCAGTACAAATTAGTTATATAGTAAAACAATGAAAATTGTCACTTCTGTCAATAAAACAAAATTCACAATATAAAAATTGTAGAAGGTTCTCTTGCATAACTTGTTGATCAACCATCTTCTACAGCTTCCATGCAACCTTTTTAGAGAATTCAAGTTAGTGTGATATTCCGTGTCATAGTTCAAGTATAAAAAGTGAATGTATGAAGAATACTTTGGATTGGTGGTTATGACATGTCATTAATATTGATCAATTAGATAATGAGAAAGAAATTTGAGACAATACGAGCAAAGTTATAGCGGTTCGGCCTGAACCAACCTACATTCACTCCAAGCCTCTCCTTACGATTCCACTGCCACATTTCCAAACTAGAAAAAATAAACAGTTAACATAATAAAGGTTATGAGAAAGAGGTCAATAATATATATATATATATATCAAGTCCATATTGGAGAAATGATATGACTACATGCTAGGAAGATATATCAAGTAGGCAATTTCCCTACTAAAGAAACTAACAGGGGAGTAAGTAAAATAATCTTCATATGTTTGTACCTAACATCACTTCTTAGTTTTGAATTTTAAGATGAATGTGTGGAATATGAAAAATAAAGTAAAACGTTGTCCCAGTATTAAATAGGGAAATTTAAAAAATATTAACAAAAATATTTTTGAGAGTAAGATTCAAGATCTTAAGATTTTGATTATGCATAAGGAAGCTAATCTTATGTGGGAAAAAGTAACTAGTTATATTAAGAATGTTACAAATGATGTACTTGGAGAATCAAAAGGAAAAGTTCGTAATAATAAAAATAGTTGATGGTGAAATCAAAATGTGCAAGAAAAAAAACTTTGTTATAAAAATTGATTTGGATATGAAAGCTACAAAAATTAGGAAAGATATAAAGAGGCACGAAAGGAGCTTAAGAAAGCAATATGCGATCCAAATAATTTAGCTTTAAATGATTTATATAATAGATTAGATACTAAAGAGAGCGAAACAAATATATATAAGTTAGTCAAGCAAAGAGATAGGAGAAGTAAGGATTTAGTTCAATTGAAGTGCAAAAAAATAAAAAATAGTTCAAGTGAAGTGCATTAAAGACGAAAATAAAACAAATGCTTTATTAGAAGAGAATATTCAACAAAGGTGGATGAGATATTTTGATAAGCTTTTCAATGAATATTATAATAATGTGATTGACTTTAATGACCTTAGCATCCTAAATGAAAATAAAGATTTTTTGTTTTTATTGGCATATTAGTAAAAAATCGAAGTTAGAGAGACTTAAAAAAAAAAATGAAGTGTTAAAAAGTTATTGAACCTGATAATATTCAAATAGAGGTATGGAAAAGCTTAGGAGATGAAGGAATTTCTTGTCTTATGAATTTGCAATACTATTTTGAATACAAAAAAATGTTAGATGAGTAGAGAAAGAGTGTGTTGATTCATATTCTTAAGAATAAAAGTGATGCATAAGAGTGTGTGAATTATAGAGGAATTAAGTCAATGTGTCATACTTTAAAACTATGGGTGATAGTTATTGAGCATATGTTACCATGTGATACTAATGTTTCTCAAAATCAAATTGGATTGATACCAAGTAGGTCTACAATGGAAGTTATACACTTATTGAGAATTTTAATGGTGAGATATAGAGAGAATAAGAAGGATTTACATATGATACTTGTTGATTTAGAGAAAACATATGATAAAGTTTCAAGAGAAGTGCTCTGGAGAGTTTTCGAAAAGAGAGGAGTTAATAATGCTTTGTATGTAGGAGCTATTACTTGTGTTTAAACACAAGATGATTTGACCAAATATTTTCCTATTTCAGTTGGATTACAAAAATGATCAGCCCATATCTTTTTTGCTTTAGCCATGGATGTTCTTACCATACATTTGCAAGAGGATGTACCTAGTGCATGCTTTTTGCTGATGATATTCTTCTTGTTGATAAGACTAAAGAGGAAGTTAAGGTAAACTTGAATTATGGAGGTCAACATTAGAATTTAAAGGTTATCATTTGAGTAGATATAAAACTGAATACATAGAATGTAATTTTAGTAGTAATAGCTCTAGTGGGGGGATTGTGACTTTGGGCGATCAAGTCATTAACAAGAGTACATGTTTTAGATATATCGGGTCTTTTGTTCAAAGTGATAGTGAAATAGATAGGGATGTTATTAGTAGAATTCAAATTGATTGGTTGAAGTGGAGGAATACATCAAACACATTGTGTGTAGAAAATTACCTCTCAAACTTAAGAGAAAATTTTATAAATGATGGTGAGACCTGCAATGCTTTATGGCACAGAATGTTGGCCATTAAAAGAGAAGCAAAAAATTAAGTTAAGTGTTATAGAGATGAGGATGCTCAAGTAGATGAGTTGCTTCACTATTATAGATAAAATGTGAAACGAGTATATACGTGAAAAGGTTAGAGCAGCTCCAGTGGAAGATAAGATTAGAGAGAGTCACCTTAAATGGTTTAGTCACATAAAATGTCGACCTTTTGATGACCAAGTTAGGAGAGTAGATGTATTAGATTTGACCTATGTTAAGAAAGGTAGATGTATACATAAAAATATTTGGTTTAGAAATAACCTTTTTTTAAACTAGATTTAAATGAGAATTTGATATAGGCAGGGGGGGTCAAAACAACTTGGGTCCTCTTGTTCTTTGGGCTGCTTACTGTCACTCGGCTTGGGCCTTGGTTGTTCTCGAGTTGGGCTTTGGTTGTTTTGGTTTTGAGCTAAAATCTTGGGAACTACTTGGTTCAAGCTCATAAATGCTTCAGCTAATGATAGCTCATCTTGTAAGCTCATTAAGAGGAGTTAAATCCTTGCCTCTTCCCCTTCTTGTGTCTCCTTGGTTTTCTCTTTGTGCTGTCCCGTGATTTGCTGCTGGGTGCTGGTTGCCTTTTCGGATTTCCCCCTGGCTGCTTTCCCGTGACTCCCCCTTCCCAGTTCCTATATTGCCTACTCGGTTTGCTCCCTGGCTGCCTTCCCGTGGCTTCTCCTACCCGGTTCTTGTGTTGGCTCTTTGACTCCCTCCCTGGCTGTGTTCCCGTGGCTTCGCCTACCCGGTTCCTGTGCTGATTTTTGGGAGTTGTTTTGTGTTATCTGCTGCCCTTCCTCTTCCCCATAGCTGATTGGTTTAAATAGGGTTTTATGTGACTGTTTGGCTCCCCTTTCTCTTCTATAAATATAAGGTATTTGGGCAAAGTTAGAGTTAGGATGATATAATGTGATTTTTGGACATGAAAACCTAAGGGTTTTTTTGGAAAAGCTTGAGAGCTTGTTCCACTTCTTTGTCTTCTACTTCTTGGGAAGGCTTGCGAGCTTCTCCTATTTTCGTCTTAGACTTCTTACCTCCTTCTATCCGCAAGTCCGACGCCACTTGTATCCTTCTTCTCATCGATTGACAAAGCTTCTTTAGGAGTTTATGTCATTTGTAAGCGTCAAAGTTTGAATGTCCTTTTATATTATAAAAGTAAAGTTGTTTTTGATTTATTTGTTGTATTTTATCTAGTTTTTGGGAATTTTGTGTCATTTATATTTCCTAGGAAGGTTTAGTTTTTTCTTGTAAAAATTTGGGGGCTTTTCCCATATTTTTGCATGCATCAATTTGGTATCAGAGCTTAGGTTTGTGTCTTCCTAGGTCTCTTTTCGTGCCTTTTTTAAGAGTTAAAAAAATGGAAAATCACAAAAAGATTGAATCAGTCGTGGAAGAAAGTAATCCAGAAGCTTTTAAAGTCCATGTACCAATGGATAGATGGGTTCCATCAGAAGGTGATTCAACAGACCCCCCACAAAATGAATTATACAAGCTCCAAGTGAAGATGCATATGAGTACGGAAAAGTATATGAAGAAAAAGAAAATGTTACAAGACCAATTCAAGCAAGAACGAGAAGAAATCCTGAAGAAATATGCGTCAAAGATTAAAGAATTGGATTCTGAGTCTATACCTCATCAAAAAAAATTTTAAGCAACCTCATTGGGAGATGAGTTTTTCAACCGGAGGAGGCAAGAGAGGGGGGGGGGGGGGAACTTGGGTCCTCTTGTTCTTTGGGCTGCTTGCTGTCTTTAGTTTGGGCATTGGTTGTTCGGGGGGGGGGGGTCAAAACAACTTGGGTCCTCTTGTTCTTTGGGCTGCTTGCTGTCTTTAGTTTGGGCATTGGTTGTTCGTGGGTTGGGCTTTGGCTATTTTGGTGTTGAGCTAAAATCTTGGGAACTACTTGGTTCAAGCTCATAAATGCTTGAGCTAATGATAGCTCATTAATATAAAAAGGCATTAGTCTTGTAAGCTCATTAAGAGGAGTTAAATCATTGCCTCTTCCCCTGCTTGTGTCCCCTTAGTTTTCTCCTTGTGTGTCCCGTGATTTGTTGTTGGGTGCTAGTTACCTTTTCGGTTTTCCCCTGGCTGCTTTCATGTAACTCCCCCTTCCCGATTCCTGTGTTGCATGCTCAGTTTGCTCCCTGGCTGCCTTACCTTGGCTTCTCCTACCCGGTTCTTGTGTTGACTCTTTGGC